AAAGATTACTGTTGTATTATATTAATTTCTTAAATGACGAACGTGTTTTTGATCAGGCATCATTGCTGATATCCGATTTATAGTGCTTACGCCATATTACAGCATCTGACTGTTCTACGCAAACATGCGGAGTTTTAGCTTCAGTAAACATTTGATCAAAACTGGAGCCTAGCAGGGACGCTGTTATCCGGATCATAACCACACTACGCTGTTAAACAGGCCTACTAGAGGTCACCTTACCTCCGATGTGCTGCTGGATCTCCGGCTGCTGCGCGTTTCTGTCGGATCCACAACACACAAAGACGAAGCCTTTTCTCAGACAGCAGTCGTCTAGAAATCTTCGGTCCTTTCCGGATCGAAACCCGGTGCCTACAACAAACACCTTGACGCCCTGATCATGATTTCAAGCGCATATTACACCCTGATCACTGATATAGCATTATGCTGCTAAATATAAGCAAATCTAGCAACGAACAGCAATTCTATTCAGCAATCGATATTCATGTATCGAAGATCGCTCGTGCACTTAAAACATTTGCACCCTGTATGCAACGATGAAGTGATTTATCCGGGCCTTTAGCCGTCGAGTGAGCTACTGAAGCGTAATTTAAGAAGTCGCTGCGATCAGGAAAGCTAGTAGCTGCATGCTAACAGCCCGAATTAAACCGGTAGATAGGAACCAACGACAAGCATTGACCAAAGGGGGCGGAGACAAGCTTCTTCCGCCTGGCCCGCAGGATGATCTGCTAACTAATGCTAATACACGTCGTCTGTTTATGGCATCTTACAGTTCAAACGATCATTAAGTTAGCTATTAAATCTAATTTGAAATCGAATATATTTAGGCACCACTGACTTGCATGTTACCTTTAGATTGTATTTTTTTGAAGTCCGGAGTCCCAAACACTGCCACTTCCTTATTGAACCAGGGAGGGTAATAAATTAAAATAATAATAATTACAATTGATTTAAAAAAATAAATAAAAATCATAATATACACTTTAGTTCAAAAGTTTTGAAACATTACTATTTTAAATGTTTTTTTAAGTCTCTACTTTTTAAATAAAATGCAGAAAAACTAATATCTGGGGGGGAAAAAACAGTAACAGAAATATTGTGAATTTAAAATAGTGATTTTCTATTTTTATATACTTTAAAATAGCATTTATTTCTGTGATGCAAAGCTACATTTTCATCACTCCAGCCTTCAGTGTCACATGATCCTTCAGAAATCCTTGTAATATAGGCTATTACATTATATGGTTTCATTTTATTTTGATGGTCCATTTTAACACATTATATTGACTACAAGTAATGTTGCACCTACATGTCGACTAACTCTCATTGGAGTGTTAGTAGAGTATTAGTAGACTGGTAGAGTTAGTAGTTGACATGTAGCTGCAAAATTATTACTTATAGTCATTAGAATGTCTTTTGGAGGAACATCACAATAACAAGTTAGCAGATATTAAGCAGACCATCTACTAATAATCTAATGAGAGTTAAAAAAATATTAACTAGACAAAATGAAGTGTTACCTGATCATAGTTTCGTGTATCAATATCAGCCCTTCGAAGAACGATATTAGCCAGAGATCAGTTATCCTCCCATCCTCTGATGGCTACTTCCAGCAGAATAATGCACCATGTCACAAAGCTCGAATCATTTCAAATTGGTTTAATGAGTTCACTGTACTAAAATGGCCCCCATGTCACCAGATCTCAACCCAATAGAGCATCTTTGGAATTTGGAGGAACGGGAGCTTCGTGCCCTGGATGTTCGTCCCACAAATCTCCATCAAATGCAAGATGCTACAGTATAAATATGGGCCAACATTTCTAAAGAATGCTTTCAGCACCTTGTTGAATCAATGCCACGTAGAATTAAGGCAGTTCTGAAGGCAAAAGAGGGTCAAACACAGTGTTAGTGTTCCTAATAATCATTTAGGTGAGTGTATTGTTATACCCCTAATAAATTCAGTTATTATGTGGTCAATATGTAAACATCTGTTATAAGTGAAATTGTTTATTCTAAAATTATTAGCAGATTCTTTTTTTCAGATTCAGATTTTTATTTAAAAGTAAATGCTGCCTTTCAATTTTCTTTTTGGTGCAATAAACAAAGTAGTTTATTTTTCTTTCTCAAGTCACATTAGAGAAAGCATTAAATCCTATTCAAATAGGCTATATGCATGCATACGTTTCGCATTTGACGCAAGGCTGCACTCTGTTTCCGGTTGGGGAGATTTAAAATGGAGGAAAATGGTATTATGGCAGAGTCTTCAAAATTGTCCTCCCATCTTTGAAACAAAACTTTAATACATTTAGATGTCATTTTATATATAAGTTTATTTAATTTAATAAACAAAATGAGGGGTGGCTGTTTTGTCTGTTTTTGTGACCAACGTTAAATGCTCGGTAGCATAGGACTTTACGACTGGCGGAAGTAATCCAGCATCCTTAGACCTTCACCGGAAATATGTCATGCACTGCCGTGCATAGAGCCTATTGCATTTTATTATGATTTAAAGTTAATAATTCTGAATTGATTTAGGTGGTATTAATTAATTGAACTAAATTATGAGTTAAGCAAACAACAACAACAAAACTTTTTATAGCTTATTCTCTCTGTGGTTCTTCCCCAGCCAACATTTCCTTGTGGACCCCATGTAGGCTTTTGATGGGCTGTCACAGGCCCTGCATGGGCAACCCAAATTTGTCCATTGGAAATTTTTCCATTGGCTCCACGTGGGACCCATAAATGTTAGCCCATAGTGGCAAATGTTGGGTCCATAGTTGACTCTAAGTATGACCAATTTAGATGTTCATTAAATGGGCTCATGTGGGTCCCAAATGGAGGGAAAAGGAATTAGATGCAAAAAAAGTAAAACACTTGACAAATAGTGAGAATATATTTGGAGGGGGAAATGTGGTTAATTAAAGATAAATTGAAAAGTTCCAGCAACAGGAAAAGACAATCTAAGTTAAAAGAAAAATACCTTCCCTTCAATAGACCATTTTGCAAGATGTAAACAAAACTGGTCCAGAAGCACTTCCTGTTTCAGTTTTTTAACACTACATAAAAGCTGGGACCAACAGAACATACAAAAAACTGAATCAAAAAGTTAAACAAACATCTTTAAGATTTTTTCTTTCCATGTGAAATAAAGAAAACAGTTACAAACTGAAACAGGAAGTGTTTCTGGACCAGTGTTGTTTACATCTTGCAAAATGGTCTATACCAATACCACAGTCTGCTGCTTGGATCGTGCTGACATTATTTCCTCCATTGCCTGAGCACAAAGATAAGAAAGATGATGGCGGAAATACATGAGAAGACACCGTGAAGACATCTTTACCACTCTGAGACATTCATGTGCTTGGAGAGAGTTTGGTTTAAATGGGTTTTATCTCAGCTATCAGATGACGAGACTTGCGGAGAGGACTGCCCATATGGCATAGGTTCTGTTGGCTGTATGTTGCTTTAATAATCGAACAATTGGAGCTTTCTGTGTGGGAGAGCTATGACAGCATACCACAGCGGAGCACTGACACGTAATCCCCTTACCCAGTCTGGTTCCACTGTTCTCTCTTCCAATTACCTGCTCTGTCCAGACGGTGGCACTCACAACACAGCCTATCGGATCCTGCTTGGCCTCAACTTCCTGTTTACTATGTCCGCTCTGGTGGCCTGTCAACATTTTTAACATTTGAGTTCATCCTGTTTGTCGCAGTTGGGTCCTTTTTGTCATACTTAGAATGTGCTACAGTTGCAACAAGATCAGTCTCCATAAGAATGTAAACAAAAGAACAGTCAATGTCTGCAACCACAAGATATTGTTGAGGTGTCAAATGCGCGGTGTGCATTATGGTGAAGTTTAAATCATTAGATGTTTCATAAGGTTAGTTTAATATAAGGCTTCTTTAATATCTGGCATCTCCAAATATGGTAGGGGGTGCTCACCCTGTGGTCTGTGTGGGTGCTTACACCCCAGTTTAGTGATGGGGCTGCAGAGCACCATCCTTCGGATGAAACCTTAAACCGAATATCCCAGGATGTCTTTCAAACAAGTAGGGGTGTAACCCCAGTGCTGGCCTCTGTCCATCATGGCCTCCTCATCATCACCTTATATAGCCTGATTGGCTGCTTCACTCTGTCTCCTCTGGTGTGTGATGGGCGTTCTGGTGCACTATGGCTGCCGTCACATCATCCAGGTGGAACATTGAACTTTGGTGGTGGTTGAGGAGATTCCCTCTTCCATATGTAAAGCACTTTGAGCGCAGAGAAAAGTAAATTAATAATAAAATAGCTGCTAACCGCACCATCTGGCGACAGCTATGTGGAAAGGGGGTTTGTACACTAGGGATGGAGAGGACAACCAGAAAACAGCAGAAGCGAGCTAGGAGAAATGCAGCCATAGCTGCCAATGTGACTACCACCACCATCACATATGCCCCACCTGCAATAGAGCTTGTGGGTCCAGGATAGGACTGTTTAGCCATCAAAGATCTCACCGTTAAAAGGCGTGGACGTCATCATCGGATCTCGATGGACAACCGAAGAGAGTATTAAAATCAAGCATTTTAGAAAAGAACAAAATATGGTTGTTCAAACCATCTATACACACATAGGCTATATACAATTCATGTCTTTAATAAACAAAACAAAAATAATAATGGGTGGGTGGGGGGGGGGTTGAATTCAATAACGTTTACTAAATAACATCCAATTTATTAAAACAAGGCAAAGAGTAATCAAGAAATATCCACTTTTGATCTTGTGGGTGGCTGATCTCGTGAACACTTTTGACTGCATTTATATGGATCTCCTGACTGCAGTTATCTATACTCTTGTCTACTCTTGCAGTTATCTATCATCAAAAAACTTTTCTGTAATCAACAGCCAGCCTCTGTCTAATAGAGTCAGCTGGACGGCCTAATCAGCTCATGCTTCATCCTAATTAACGTCTTTCTAATTAATTGGTCTAATTATTTGGGTGTGGTTTTCTCTGGGTTCACAACACACTATTGATTTAAGCTTGTGGAAAACTGTAGGTTAACTTTTATTGTGATTATTTCTGGTCTGAAAAAGCTTTTCAGGTAAGTGCTATGTAAAATCTAAATAAAGCCACCTACTTTGTTTTAATGGTTTAAACAAACTATTCAGTTGCTATCAAACATTTGATAACTGTTTGTCATAAAATGCCAACAAAGCTTAAATACATGTAAAATAAAATTGACAATAAAGTGTGGATTGATAAGTAAAAGTTCATCTTGCTTTTGAAAGAACTATATAGCATAAAAGATCAAGCATTCTAAAATCATCCCGAACAAAAATGAAAACTGCTTCAGTTCAATTTCAAAAACAAAAGTTTGAATAGTTTAAAGACTAGTCTGACAAATTATTAATTCCTTCTCTTGATTTGTTCTTCAAGTATAACTGTTATAGCTTCCCCAGAGCCCACTGGTGCTATGGCAGGTGTACTGAGTGGATCACTGTATGCACAGGCCCCTCCGCTCCCTGGTCCTCTGCCCTCCAGAGTGTTACACCCAGATGAGCACCTCCATCAAAACCAACCCTTTTACGTTCCCAATGTCCAACCTCTCTTCCCATATCAGTGGTCCATGCCAACTCCATATGCTCCCTACGGTGGATTTCATGGATCAGGTATCTTCTAAAGTACCTGTTTCTTTTCTCATTTTACTAAAGGTTGTTAGGGTTGCTATTGAATTAAACAGAGCAATTTTTCAGGATTTTACTTTATTTGTTGTGCCTTTTATTTAATTTTACCTGATGAACATGTTTCTAAAAAGTGTTTCTGAAAATTTCCTGATGGCTTCTTTTCTGGATCTCTTGCTTGAAAATATGGAAGTCATTTTTCATAACATGAAACGTGAAATTTACTTAAGTGTGATATGAGGAACTTTGATTTTAGGATACTAGGATCCAGCGGTTAATGCTACCAGACAGTCTGTTAAAATGTATTCATTGACACCCACATTTGCGTGATATGACTGTTCTTTGTTTTCAAGGTTACGGCATGATGCCACTACTACTTCCCCCATATTTGGAAGTCCCTGGATACGTGGTTCCTCATGCTCAACTTCCCATTTTGGACTACAGACGAATAACTCCCCATGTGGCTCCAATTATTGCACACCAGACCCACCGACCCCATTTCCAAAACAGTTTGCCTGTTGGTCGTGTGATGGTCAGCTCAGAGGTGCAAACTGAACCCCTTTGTCATAGCATAGACTCACATGGGTCCCAAACTTGCTCTGAATCAGGTAGGGGTAGTGGCTGTGGCAGTCCAGTGTCAACATCCCCCTGCTCCTCGGATAACAAATCAGTAGCTTGCCCCGAAGGTACATCCACACTGACTCAAAATTGCAATGCCACCAATACTATTGACATTACTGGTTTATCTGCTGTTCCCAAGACTGAAGTCCTCCAAGCCGAACGGGTGCAAATCAAATGCAATGAAATGCCTTCTGAGCTTAAGATCTTTCAGGAGCTGGTTAGTCAGAACGAAACTGACCTTTTGCAGTGCAGCTTGGCATCTGTACAATCTTCAGAGGATGTCGTCTTGTGCTCTTACCAGTCATTAGCAGTAAGGAAGGAGAAACGGAAGGTCGAAGCTGGGATGTTAAGATACACCAGTAAGCATTGTCTCCCTGCTTGTACAGAAGATACTGTGGTGAGAACTTCTCCATCTTGTAGAACTTTTAAAACGTATCCTAAGCCAAGCAGATCTATTGTTACCCAAAGCTTTAAAGCAAAGAAAAAATCAGAGATGCCTTTTCATACAGAGAAGGAAGATGGAAACTCTACCAATGTTCCCTTTAAGATTCTGCGGCTGCCCTTTGACTTGCAGTACCATGACCAGCCTTGTCAACTCGAGGCTTCTATCTGGTCGGTAGAGTCTTTGATGCCGTATGTGCCGTCCAGTGAGTGGATGATTGAGAAAGGTCTTCTAACCCCTCAGAAACCGTTGAGCCCACTGATTGAACCCAGTCATGGTATCTCAAAGCCAAAATGTGTTTCTGTAGGGAAGTATCAACAAACTAAAGCATCTACTAAATACCATGGTCTTCCACATCAACTAGAGACTTCTATCTGGTCGGTAGAGTCTTTGATGCCGTATGTGCCGTCCAGTGAGTGGATGATGGAGAATGGTCTTCTAACCCCTCAGAAACCTTTGAGCCCACTGACTGAAACCAGTCATAGTATCTCAAAGCCAAAATGTGTTTCTGTAGGGAAGTATCAAACTGATGCATCTACTAAATACCATGGTCTTCCACATCAACTAGAGACCTCTATCTGGTCGGTAGAGTCTTTGATGCCGTATGTGCCGTCCAGTGAGTGGATGATGGAAAATGGTCTTCTAACCCCCCAGAAACCTTTGAGCCCACTGATTGAACCCAGTCATAGTATCTCAAAGCCAAATTGTGCTCCTGTAGAGAAGAGTGAACAAACTAAAGCATCTACTAAATGTCATGGTCTTCCACATCGACTAGAGACCTCTATCTGGTCAGTAGAGTCTTTGATGCCGTATGTGCCGTCCAGTGAATGGATGATGGAGAATGGTCTTCTAACCCCTCAAAAACCTTTGAGCCCACTGACTGAACCCAATCATAGTATCTCAAAGCCAAACTGTGTTCCTGCAGGGAAGTATCAAACTGATGCATCTACTAAATATCATGGTCTTCCACATCAACTAGAGTCCTCAATCTGGTCAGTAGAGTCTTTGATGCCGTATGTGCCTTCAAAGGAGTGGATGGTTGAGAATGGGTTTTTAACTCCTCAGAAACCTCTGAGTTCACAGATAAAATTCAGTGATGTTCTCTCCGAGATTAATCAGTCTTCCAGTAATGGTATTCCAGGAAGGGCAAGTCAACAAACCGGTGGATCAACTAAACGTGAAGACTCCCTTAGATCACTTAAGGCCCACTCCCCATACTGTCCCTCAACAAGCTGGCTGGCTGACTTTGGTAATGTATATTACTACAGTAAGTTACCCATTGTACAACAACAGCCTAACATTTCAGAGAGGCGGCTACCAAAGATGTCCCTTGCCGTTGGTCTTGAATCTTCTCCTCTCAGAAATGGGAAAGACACCAGGATCCAAAGACCAGCAATTGGTGTCTTAGATCAGAAGCATGGTTCGGTTCATAATTGCAAGCGCAAAGCAAAAAGCAGTCCGAGGCTTGATGGATCTGCAGTGATGTGTGGTTGGGTTTCTCATTCCACATTGGAGAAAAAGCTTCCCTTCTGCACATCATGTAGATACACCATGAAAGGAAAGGATCATGGAAAGCTTTCTTTTTCAGATGGTCTTTGCTGCAAAAAAAGAGAGATTGCTAAAATGATAACCTTTGATGACAAAAGGGCTACTGAGGGAGTCCATGATTTCCAAAAAATGATTTTGGGAAGTCATGTGGCAAAAGGCTGTGCTGCTCATCAGCCTAAAATCAGAGATAAAACGGGACTGTTAGAAAATTACCAATGCCTTAATGCCAGCCCTGCTCAAGATAAATGTGTTGACTGTGAATCGAGAACTTGGGAAAAGAGTGGGGTAGACTGTATTATCAACCCAAATGAGAGATTGTTAAAGAGACTGGAGAAAGGTAGGACTGCCAAGATACTGTTGCCCAAATTCTTTACATTGTGTGAGTGTGTGTATCTATATATCAATATAACAATATAGATTATATTTATCTTCTGGTAGACAATGCACGGAAAGGAACAATGCAGGCACCTAAAACTGAAAGAAGGATCCAGAAAAGAAAAGCTTACTCACAAGGTAAAGTTAATTCACTAGTTCGTCTTTCCATCAGCCTTAAATGTTAAAGGGTTAGTTCACCCAAAAATGAAAATTAAGTCATTAATTACTCACCCCCATGCTGTACCAACCCTGTAAGACCTTCGTTCGTCTTCGGAACACAAATAAAGATATTTTTGATTAAATTTGAGAGCTGTATAACTACCACATTGGCTCCTAAGGGACTGCCTCTTGACGGCCCAGAAAGTCAATGAAGAAAATGTTTAAATATCCCAAGTGACTACCGTGGCTCAACTATATGTTTATCAAGCGACGCGAATACTTTTTGTGCGAAAAAACAAACAAAAATAACGAGTTTATTCGACTATTTTTTTCTTCCTTGTAGGCCAGAACGAGACTTCCTTATAGATTTCCACGACGCATGCGCGAGATTTGCGATCTGCGTACACCAGCTTACACCACTTCAGATCGCAATTCTCGCGCATGCGTCGTGGAAATCTATAAGGAAGTCTCGTTCTGGCCTACAAGGAAGAAAAAAATAGTCGAATAAACTCGTTATTTTTGTTTGTTTTTTCGCACAAAAAGTATTCGCGTCGCTTGATAAACATATAGTTGAGCCACGGTAGTCACTTGGGATATTTAAACATTTTCTTCATTGACTTTTTGGGCCGTCAAGAGGCAGTCCCTTAGGAGCCAATGTGGTAGTTATACAGCTCTCAAATTTAATCAAAAATATCTTTATTTGTGTTCCGAAGACGAACGAAGGTCTTACAGGGTTGGTACAGCATGGGGGTGAGTAATTAATGACTTAATTTTCATTTTTGGGTGAACTAACCCTTTAATAGCAAACTAGCTTGGCTTGCTGTCCTTGGAAGAGGCTCGAACCCGAGGCCTGAGCTCCTAGTTAAACCCTCCCATAATGGAATTGAGTATAAGAGGATGGAGATAATTCACATGGGTAGCGGGGAAGGGTGGTTGCAGGAAGAATTTGTCAATGGAATGATGTGGTGTCTGCTGCTTGCATATTATTATTGTAATGACAATTGACAGGACTGAATGTTTAGCTCCTCCCGAACCTACGTTTTGAACTTCATTTTGTGTCTTGAAAGAATTGTGTCCCTGTTATACCATATCTGTTTATGTATTTAATTCACATTTGAAATTCCTTTTATTTAATCATTTAATATTTTGCTGTTATTGTTTCTAATCCCCCTTTCTTTCTCTCTCCAGAGCTCACACAACAGGGAGACACAATGCACACCCCATGGAGAGAGTGAAGGCACACTAATTTCACATTATGTTCAAATCTTTCAACACTCAAATACTTATTTTTACGTTTTTATACAGTGATTTAATAAAGTACTTATGACTGTAAACATACTACATATTGCCTTTTTTCATTTAATCTCCCAAAGTTCCATTTGAAATGAAATGTCACTAAATCATATTGTAATGCGTTGTGTGAATAACTATGTAGGTAATACACAGTACTGTGCAGAATAGATGTGCCAGGAGCAAATCTCAAATTTAGTTTAAATCATCTTTTTCCTTTTCTTCAAATGTTGTAATGAGTCGTAAAACAGAAGGTATGATCTCCACACAGATCTGATATCAGCCACAAAACTGAGTGACTGTAGAGTGATTTAAGCCTCTGGTGTTCGGTCATTTTCGAAATTTTATAAAATGATGCTATATTAGAATGGCAAAAAACTAGGTGACACATTTGAGGCAGTTGCTATTTATAATCTTAATGGTCGTCAAACAACGGTCACACGTCAGCGCAAATTGCCTTGTGGGAAGTGCCAGCCCGTTCTCATCCTTTAACGTCATATAGAGCGCTATATGACAAAACGGCGCTATACTACGCACATGGCACCCGTTATCGTTAATATAACACGCGAACCCAAGACGTTATAAATCCTTTAGCGTGAATATGACACGTACACCCTACCCCACACCTAAACTTAGCCCTCACAGCACGTGTTATATTAACGATAACGGGTGCCTTTAGCGTAGTATAGCGCCGTTTTGTCATATAGCGCTCTATATGACGTTAAAGGATGAGAATGCGTTGGAAGTGCATATAGCTCAGTTGCGCTTCAGGCACCCCAAGGCTGAGTCTCGACAAGTTGACCTTCACTGATCCTGTTCCCTTCTTTTTCTCCAACTTTGCTTCCTATGAGCTAACTGTCCAGTCATAAGGCAAAAAAGCCAAAAATAAATCCACTATTAAAGTCGTATGTTTGAATGTTTTAGTGTGCAATCTGAAAAATCAGCCATGATAATGGAAGATTTGGAATACTTATATGGATAATTTGAATGATGTTTTTTTAAAAGCCCCTTGTCCCCATCCATGGTGTCGTTGAAAAGCATGAACATTCTTCAGAACTTTTCCTTTTGCGAAGTCATGCAAATTTGTAATGAAAAGGATTTTATTTTAAGGCATGACCATTGGACAGTGAAATGCTCATTGAGATCATTCTGAATCAGGTGGAGAAGAAAAGACGCATGTTACCTGCAAAATAATTAAGAAATAAGTGTGAAACCATCAGGAACCCTTTAGTTTCCAGCGCCACCATTTTCCAGAACTGCAACCTATCTGGAGTCTCCAGAAGTGCAAGGTGTTAGGATCTCAAAGACTAAGGTTAAGTAAATAATCTAAAAAAGTACCCCAACTTAATAAGAATCACAAGCTCAAGTGGAGAGAAATAAAAATAAAAAACAGACACACTTTATAGACACAGTTTGAGAATGATTCTTGAAGGACCAGCACCACATCCTTTTGTAGCTACCACTGTTTGATGAATTCATCTTCCAGAATCTGGTAGAAATGAACTCCCCAAACGTACTTTTGTATTCTATTGTGTTATTCTTGTTTTCCTGCCCGTTGTGTTCATTGGTTTCTGTTTTGCTTTTGTTATTAAATATGCCTGCACTTAGATCCACACTTCTGCCAGCCTTCTTTGCCCTCCATGTTATGGAACCACAGTTTTGTTTCTGGATATTGTGTAACAGCCCTTGACTGTTCTTGTTATGATTTTTAGTTTGAAGTTCTGTCATATTTCCATTTCCTTTTTCCAGATTGTGGCTGTTTCTCAATGGGCTATATGCACGCATAAGTTCCGCATTTGACGTAAGGATGCTCGTCCATTTACGGTTGTGTAGATTAAAGCGGAGGAAAACCGGAGAAAACGGGATTATGGCAGAGTCTTCAATATTTACTGTCCTCCCGTCTTTGAAACGAAACGTACATACGTTTAGATGTAATTTTATATATAGTTATGTTTATTTAATATAATTTTAAAAAGAAGCATAAACACAACGAGGGGTGTCTGTTTTATCTGTTTTTGTGACTTACGTTTCATTAGTATAACCATGGAGTATAAAATTCAATATAAATTCTCGGTATTGCATTGGACTCTATGATCGGCGGAAGTTATCGAGCATCCTTAATCCTTCACCGGAAATAACGCCGTGCATAGAGCCTATTGTAGGAATGCAAAAAAAAAAAAAAAAAAAAAAAAAACAGACTTGCAGGATACCTAACATCTAACTTGGAAGGACAGGAGGACACAGAATGCTGTGATCTTCTGTTGCACTGGCTGCCAATCCCAGCACATTTTCCTACACTCGATTTTCACACGTGAAAGTCCGCACCAAGGTCCAAACCAAAGTTCACGTTTTGATAGATTTGATACTTTCAGAAAGTTTTGGTTTGGTTTCACACTTAAATAATGCATGCACTATAGAGAGCCTAAGTCCCGCCTCTCCGCTTCCGGCTCATGGGACCTTATTTCGGAAAAAATATGAATGGTAGTCAATGGCGAGAGACAACTTATCTTTTTATTCCGTCTGAACTGTGCCCTCAATTAGACATATGATGTTTGTCTATTTAAAAGATAATTCTGAAAGTCAAAAACGTCACTGTTTGTCATAAAACAGAAGAGTAACATTTAGTTTTATGTGAAATTCGCTCTGTGAACTACATCTCCCGGGAAGAGAAACGAGATCCGCTGCTCGTGTGTGTGCAGTACACTCAGGTAGGACGGCGTAACGTTACGATTATAACGTAAGACTGTAGAAACAATTATAGACAGTCTCAGTAAAGTTAGCTTCATTCATTGAGAGAAAATGTGCGCCTTTGGGGTTTGTAGTCTTTGTAATTACGTATTTTCACAGGCTTAACGGTTTTACATCAAACTGCGACTTTCTTTACTTTAAAATGTTTCTTTTAAATTGACGTATGTGTATGTATCATATGTGTAATTCAGGGCACAATTCAAACGAGATCAAAATATTTGTTGTCACTCGCCAGTGACTACCATTCAATATTTTTCCGAAATAAGGTCCCATGGTGGTCGACCGGAAGGTAGGCTCTCTATAGAACTTTACGTGACATACTTGCGTCCTGTCGTCATCATCTACGTGGGCTGGATCTTGACATTGATTGGTTTGTAAATTGACTATGTGCACGAGAAAAATGCTAACTTCCGCCTTGAGGGCGGATGTTGGGTACTTCGGTTCCGGTTGCCGTTGTTTACATCCTACATCAGTGGACCGGCTATCTAAAGCTTAGCTATCTAAATATATTTGTCTAAAACTATGTTCGTTTGTTCATTGTCAAGTCAACCAACACAGTTTTCACTCATATTTGGGTGGAGCCAGGCGCTGCTGCATTGTGAAAAGTAAACGATATTTCACATTTTGTCACCGCACCCAAGCAGTCGCTTCACAGAGTGGAGCGTTGCGTATCCATGACAACTAGAAGGAAGTTTTTAGGCTACTAATTATTTATTATATTATACCCTTTAACCAGGAGAAGCCCCTGGGTTTAGAACCTATTTTGAAAGGGAGACCTGTTTAGAAATATGTGTGAACAGCCTAATATGTGTTAAACAGCCTAACTTGATAACGAACGAACCAACGTCGGATACCTTTACTCCCTGTATGACATGTATAACGTTAGTGGTTGTCAACACTGATCTATATGACGATAGTGGTTGTCAACAACATAGCCTCTGAACATCATAAACAAAACAATGGCCAACACAAACTGTTCTGGAAAATGCACTTTCTAACGCATGATTTCGCATTTTATAATGTATAGAGAGAACAGTTACCAAATCGCATAGCTTGAGCACGTAGCATGGCAACATTAATGTCCGAGTGATTCCACGTGTACCGCGTATGTACACGCCGTCAAATGTCCGAGCGAAACAAAACAATATGTAGATCTACATCTGGGGAGCGATATTTATTTTTTCCTAGGATGGTAGGAGTGACGGGTAGGTTGTGGTTGAGGTAGGTCATATGCTATATATATATATACACTGTGTGTATATACAATAATAACGTTAAGTCAACGGTATTCATAAACACGCTGAAAAGAGATTATGCGTGTTGATAGCATGCCAAAAATACGTGATACGTGTCATACATACGCAATTTCATGAGATCAGTCTGAGCATGGATGTTGTTGTGACTTAACGTTCCCTTCAAAATGATGCAAATACTGAGAAATGTAATATTTAAACCCCTTCTCTCTTGCTCTGGGGAGCTGGAGGAAAATCATTAGCCAGTCGATGAACATAATCGACTGTAATATTCGGCAAATGTTCAAGACATCTGGAGAAACATACATCCTCTACGTCGTCCATCAGGCTACCGGAAACTAGACACCCCATATCGGTTTCGCAGCCGGAACTAGCATATGCTAACGTGCACATAGTCCATAGACGCGGACGTCTGTGTTGTCAATTCGGCGGGTAACTTTGACAACATGAACGAACAGATGCATATCGTTGCAACTATATTGTTATTTTTATGGCATAATTACCTGCAGCACCAACCATACTAGTTCAAATTCGCCAAATGAACGTCCTCGTCGTGTGAACATCCTCGCCGGCAGGATCGACTGCAAGTCGACTTCTTATTATGTCATCAGACCATACTTCAATTAAAAACCTCGTCTCCTCATCTCCCCATGTGCTACCACGGCTCGTTTTTCCTGCCACCTTCTGTTTTTTTTGAACGTCCGAACCATACAGAAATTCTCACACAAGAAAAAAACCAAACCTTTTTTTCAATTTGATACCTTACGGACTGAAACTACCTCTTTTCATGTTTTCATCTGTTTAGTTCGGACCGTGGTCCGAGGGAGGTTTCACACATGTAATTTTGATTCGGACCAAACTGAAAAGTCTGAAAGTCCGGACCAAAGGTAGGTGTGAAAGCGCCCTTAGAAGAAAAGGTTCTATAAAGAACCTGACATAGGAAATAAGGGATCCTATTCTCATCATGGGATCATTTTATGTTTTTTTATAAAAAATTATTTTGATTATATTTTATTAATGAAATCACTTACAAACATACTTTATAATTAG